AAATAGGAGGCTATTAAATTCAACAGCTTGCTACCTATGCCGAAAGAGACAGCTTTAAGGAGGAGGAGATCTTTCTCAGTACGATCAAAATCTTTACCGAAATATAAATAAACCGTATATAAGGCAAACTTATTGTCGCCAGATTGTAGCATATGACCAAAGAAAGAGAGCTGGCAAGTGTCACAGGATCCTTTTTCGAGGAACTCGTGCTGAGCAGATTTAAGTAGATTATTTTTTCTTAGGTGACGTATTATATTGTTTTGATAAAGTTTGCAAGATCTCGAGGCCGCAGGAAGTGTATTTATTGACCTCAAGTCGACAAATGCATTTGATTAGGCCTACTAGGGTAAAGGTAGAGTGTGTGATTCCTCCCATAAAATAGGAAACGTTTTGCTTCCAGGGGCAAGTCCTCATATCTCACAGAGAGGGCCGAAAAATTATCACTTGTATTAGCCTTTATAATACAGACCGGGACGCCATGTGGCCTAGGACAATGAAGTTGACGAAAAGACCGAATAGCTGCAATCACGTCTCAAAGGGTAAACTTTATGGTTTCGAGGACGGCACCGATCCAAACTCGGATGGTCCGAAGTGAACCGACCGAATTTTCAATCAAAGTTCTGGATAAGAAGGAATTGAACTATTGTGTTCTTACGGGGAAAAAAGAGAAATTAGTGTATCTGAAACGTGATGCAATTTATCAGTACTAACATTCACATCTAAATTTAGGGAAAAAGTCAGACAAATATGACTGGCATTTTGCCCCTCGTAAATCCTCCATGATCATGTCATGCCCTCTTTCCTCCAATTCTAATTGTTCTCGTTTTTTACGTCAAATGTTTTTCTTTGGAATATTCCTCCATCCGAAATTTTATTTTCGTCCACCTTAGCGATATTCCTATCCAACTTACGTATTCATTTAACGTAGGAACACTCATAGACAATGTTGTCCATCTCATTCTAAAGCATGCGACACTTGGCCTTCGAAAAGAGTTCTCCTGGAATTTGAGATTGTTCTGTTTGAATTACTTGGTTTCTAAACCCACTGATATTGTCACAAACAGAACCAACCTTTTTAGCCTATCTCGCACCTGTTCCTTTCAACCATTACCATGAAAACTCCACGCCCTTGATGGGTTCATCTGCTTTGCAGTCCTCGGTCAAGCAGGAATCTTCAGGCTCCGATCATGGTCTTCGTGGTCTCCTTATGTTCGACCCTATTTAAACTGCGACGGTTTTGTCAGCCAATTCACCTAGTGGACATAGGCTACACGTTCTTCCTTATGCTGGCACGCAACAGGCTG